ATGTTAGAAATAGCTTGTTTTAGTGCAGTCCTAAAATGATGAGTTGTTTTAGAAAGATTGACAGAGTTATTTTTTTAAAATGTAAACATCTGGAAAGCGTGGAAAACCCATGACAAATACACCCAGTTATAGATTGGTTTGTAAAGTGTTAACTGTGAAGTATGTGAGTATACTTTTTCCAACTGACAAATAGGGAAGACGTTTTCCACAGATAACATGTCAAAGAATAGTTCAAGCTGAGTAGGTCATCTTTCCTCTTTTGCTTGATTATCTACCAGTATGTAATTTTTCTTCTCATTAACAATGTGGGAATTAATAAAATGCATCAGGCTAACACAAATCTAGACATGGTACTTGTGATGATTGAGGCTAGGGCAAATCAAGGATCTGTGTAAAAGCCTTAGACTCTTTTATATAAATTGTGTAGCATTCTTAAACATTAATTACAAGAGCCCACAGAAAATAGTAAAGGATGTTTGCTTTTTTATGTTTGCTCAAAATCCTTTTGGTTAAAATGAGTAGAGAGGTTTATAAATAAATGGATATATGTGTTCAATATACATTGATATATACCTGTTTGTTTCTCTTTCTTTCTCCAGGGATTCGATATAGCAAATCAGTTAGTGTTGATGAAGTAAAAGCTTTAGCTGCTTTGATGACATACAAGTGTGCAGTGGTAGGTAAGTTAGCACTGTATGGGTAAATACCAAGGATAGGCATAGTAGACTTGGAAGTAGACCTATTGAAAAGTCTTAGTAATGAAATTCACAGGAAATATTGTGTATACTACTGTCTCATGCCTTCCAAGAAATAATAATGCATTTTCTCCTCAAGAAACCATCACTTGACCTAACTAGATCAAGATCAAGATTCTTCAAAGAAGCAGGAAGCCAGCCAGGGAGGCCATTGGTCCCTTGGATGAAGGAGTCAAAGGTGTGCTAAAAGGAGAAAAGGAAATTGCAGAGAAGCTGAATGAACTCTTTGCTTCCATCTTCACAGGAGAAAAATTGGGCAGATGCCTAAGCACCTGTTCTCAGGAAGGGAATCAGTTTTAGACATATAGAGGTGACAAGAGAAGAAGTGCTAGGCCTTATTGACAAATTGACCATCAACAAATCACCAGCCTCTGATGACATTCACCCAAGAGTTACTGAGTTTAAAGCTGAGATTATAGGCCTTCTAACTAAAATATGCAACCTGTCTCTACTTGGCCTCTGTGGTTGAGGATTGGAAGGTGGCCAACCTAACTCCATTTTTTAAAAAAGGGCTCATAGGGAGTTCTAGGAAATTATAGGTCTGTCAGCTTAACATCTGTTCTAGGAAGATAGTGGAAACTACTATGAAGGAAAAAATGACAAACATTTGGAGAGGTCTTGCACAAGGATACCCAACATGCTTCACTAAGGGAAGGTCCTGTCTAACTAATCTACTATTAGTTTTTTGAGCGTGTTAACAAATGTGGATAAGGGCAAGCCAGTAGATATCATCTACTTAGATTTTCAAAAAACCTTGATGACCAAGGAATAAAAGGCCTGGTCCTCTTGTGGGTAAGCAACTGGCTAAAAAACAGAAAAAAGTAGGAGTAAATGGACATTTCTCACAATGGAGAGATGTAACTAGCAAACTCAGGGAGGCAGTGAAGGACAGGAAGGCCTGGCGCAATATGGTTCATAGGGTCACGAAGAGTCGGACACGACTTAACGACTAAACAACAACAACAACAAAACTAGTCCCCCCCCCGGCTTCTGTCCTAGGACCAATGCTTTTTATAAATGATCTGGAATCAGATGTAACTAGTAGAATACCTAAATTTGCTGATGCTAAATGTTCCAGGTGGTAAAAACAATAATGGACTGTGAAGAGCTTCAGAGGGATCTCTACACATTTGAGGATTGGGTGTCAAAATGGCAGATGTCTTTCAAAGTGAGCAAGTGTAAAGTGATGCACATTGGTGCCAGAAATCCCAACTACTCGTACAAACTAATAGGATCAGAGCTAGCAGTGACTGATGAAGAAAGATACCTTGGAGTAATGGTGAACAGTTGATAAAGGTGTTGGCACTATGCATCTGCTGCAAAAAAGGCCAACAGCATGTTAGGGATAATAAGAAACAATATTGAAAAAAGAGATGCCAGTATCATAATGCCCTTATATAAATCAATGGTACAAGTGCATCTGGAATATTGTGTGCAGTTCTGGTTGTTGCACCTCAAACAGGATATAGTGGAGCCATGGAAGGTTCAGAGGAGGATAACTAAGGTGATCAAGGGGCTGGAGCAGCTTCCATATGAGAAAAGGTTGTAACCTTTTATTCTAGAAAGGGGGTAAGACATGATTGAAGTGTACAAAATTATACATGGTGTGTACAAAGTGGACAAGGATAAGCTATTTTTCTCTTCGGAAAATACTAGATCCAGAGGTCACCCTATGAAATTGAATATTAGAAGAATCAGAACAGACAAAAGGAATGGTGGTTCGTTTTTGTTTTTTTACACAATGCATAATTCAACTTTGGAATTCACTACAATGAGATGTGGTGTTGGCTACCAGTTTGGCTTGCTTCAAAAAAAGGATCAATTCATAGAAGTCATTGGGGCCAATATCTATTAGCCTTGATGGCAGTGTGACTACCTCACAGATAGGAGACAGAGTTCCTTGTGCAGTTGATTGGCCACTATAACAGACTGCAGGACTGGATGGCCCAGGGCTCCAATCTAGCAGGGCACGCTTTTGTTCTTATTTTAGACAACTATTGACTGGTTTCCAACTTGCCTTTTTAGGTGGTTGGACTACAGTTGTGTTTTTTGGATGAGTTGGATTATCTGGATCTTTTTCTGTTGAGATTCAGGCTTGGGTGTGGGACCAAAACAGCACTGGTTGTTCTTGTTGATGACCTTTGACAGGATTAGGATAGAGGGAATTCAAGTATCCAAGTTCTTCCAGATCTCTTGATGGCCTTTGATACCATCAACCGTGCTATTTTTCTGGCTGCATATTTGGGAGTGGGAGGTATTGTTCCTCATTAATTGTCCTTTTTCAGTGGGTGGGGAGATATTTTGCTGCCTGGGAAGTTATGGGGGCACTATGATATAACAATATTACTATGGGAATGGCTTTGGCTGCAAGTTAGCTGCCAGATGGAAGTAATAGTGTTGGTGTCACTTTAAAGTTATAAATGGTTTGGAGCCTAAATATCTTAATGACACCCTTTTCTGAACTGAGAAGATCCAGGATTATCTGGAAGAGAAGACTTGCTGAGGAGTTCTACTACCAAGGAAATGCTGTCTTTAGGTATCACAAACTGAAGCTCACTTGATGATGGCCCCATTCCTTGGGAAGAGCTTACACCCGGATATCCGGACCACCTACTCCATACTACATTTTCAGAAAGCCATAAAAACATGGCTCTTCAGAAAGGCATTTGGGGATAACTAGGATCATGCTAGTCCCAAATGGTGTAACATCACATTGAATGATTATAATTGTATTAATTCATTGTTAATCTTATGATGGATTTTTAATCATTATATTAATGCTGCAAATTGCTTAGAGTCTCTGGAAATGGAGCAGCATATGCATTGTAATGATAAAGTGTGCTAATTAGGGATGTACAAAACATTTCACATCAAACTATTTCAAGCGTGGAACATCACAAAACTCCATTTTGAGTGTGAAACTGCTCCTTCAAGTGCAAATTGGGCAGTTTTAAGCATTTTGGAAGTGTTTCAAGCTCAAAACATTTCCACTATTCTTGAGACAGACTGTTTAACACTTGCAGTGGTGAGCTTCACAAAGATTTGTGCTCAAATAGAAAAGTTTGCATATCCCTTATGCTAATGCTATCTAAATGTTTTGAAGAAGGTCTGCATGTACTTTTGGAACTACTTTGTCCTCCTACAATAAAAATGCAGTCAGGTTAACGGCATTAAACATATTTTGTTATTCTTTTTGTTAATATACATTATTACATTGTTACTACATATATAATATACCCAACTAGGGAGCAGCATCTAACTGACTATATCTCAGAAAAGTTAAGTAGAGTCAAATCTGGTTAGTAGCCGAATGAGAAACCACCAGAAAATTCTAGAGCTGTAGACTATATTATTGTAAAAAAGTCCTGGAAGAAAACGGGAGTAAATAATTTCCATACTTCTGCAGTGAGACTAAACAGGCTTGTCCATGAAGTCACTAGAGTTGAATTCAATTCAAATGAGACTTCACATTTTTATATAGATTACTTACACACACACACACACACACACACACACACACATATATATATATATATATATATTTTTTTTTTTCATTTAACAGTTGAATAACTAGGTATTCTATGGGCTTGGTGAAAAAAGAAACCCTGAAAATAGGAAATAAAAAGAGACAGTTTTCTGTACAACTACATCATGGAGATGCCATTATTCAGATACCTTAAATACAGTTGGGATGATGAAAACACAATGTAATGATTGAGTTAATACATAATGTTAGATATGGTACAATTTACTATTTTGAGGTTCACTGTGTTATGTGAATTGAGTCAGTGTAGGTAGTTTATGGTTCACTGAGGTGCAAGAATCCAGGTTATTCAATAATCTAGTAAACTATGGTCTACTTGATTTATTATACAAATGCAGCCAATGATATATCCTTCAGCATTCTGCATTAACAGCATTGTCTATTCTGACTGCATAGCTCTTTAAGACAGTTTTTCTCAGTATTTGCCACTTGGTCATTTTTAACTGAAAATGCCAGGAATTGAACCTAATATTGCCTTCATTCAAAATCATATGCTCTACCACCATGCTGTGGTCCCTCCCCAACAACATCTTGCTTTTTAATAACAAATTTTGTAAAGGTGGATGGTACACTTTTAGAGTAGCGCTATATTTAAGCAAGTTAGGAAATAGGCATTTATTTATTTATATATCTTATTTATTTATTTATTCATTTATTTATCAATCAAACAACTCTGGGTAGTTTACAGAGAAGCTAAAATCAATTACAAATATAATATAAAATAGTCCTAAATAAATAAGAAATAAATATAGTCCAAGAATTGACGTTAATTGGCAAGTAGCTCGGGGAGTGTCATCATTGCTTCTGTTGATCATACTACATTGTCACTAACAAGAATCTTAGTAGCCAGTGTTGGCTAATGAAATGCCACTAATATTAAGAGGCTTGAAATTTAAAAGGGAGCTGTTATTGCTTAACTGTATTCATATAGCATACTGAGCAAGAAAGTGAGTAGGTGTGTATTTTAATTCTTGCATGCTGGATTTTATCTGAGGTTTCTGATTTACTGTGTTTGAATTCTAAATATCCACCATCTTGTATCTCTTTAGCCCAGTTCCTTTACCTTGGATTTCTTGTAAGTTACAATGCTCATGTTAAAGGAATCCATGATGATCACCACTTAGGATTCAAAATACAATTTTTTGATCAGTGTTGTATGTGAACATAATCTTTGTTTAGACTTCAGAGAAAGGTTGAATTGACACATCAAGCTAAATATTACTTTGTGTAAAAACAGTTTGTTGAATAGGCTAAATGTTCATATAAAACCCTAAGTCATAAACTGTGATTTACAAACCATAATGATGAAGGTTACATATAACAAGCCAAAATCAATCCAACCACCTTATGGCTTTGTGTAACATAAACCAGGACTGTATGTTTATCCAGTGAGACAATATGGTCTAACTATGCTACAGTGTAACAGAATTGGTAGGTTTTACATCTGAAATTTGCTCTAGGTTTTCACTGGGTTTGTAAAGTAGATGCAGCTCTATTATACTGAGAATTTTCTTTTTTTTCTCTTCTCTTGTTCCTGATGATTTTATCCTAGATTTAGAAATATCTTTCCTCAAGTTACAAAAAAGCCCATATATTTTCTAAGCAGCAGAGCTGTCATGCTTTGGTAAGCTTTTTATATATATTCATCATGAATATATGTTAGACCTTGATTAAATATTTTACTAGCTATTTTCTAAGAAAAGAAAAAGTTTGAATTATGAGCCAGTACTTTCTCACCAGTTCTTAAAAGTTGCTCTCGTATTACATTTCTGTGGCTGGATAACGAATGAGAAGATAAGATGCTAATTTGTCGATCTGGTATATTTCAGATGTTCCTTTTGGTGGGGCAAAGGCTGGTGTGACTGTTGAGCCAAAGAATTATTCAGTAAGTATAGGTTCTTCCTCTGGGATGAGAAGAACAGGACATGATGACATACTCTCGTTCTGAGAATGAAGTTGTGTGTTGCGGAATTTGGATCAATGTACCATATCAAACAGTGGATAGTGAGTCATTGTAAAGGTGAAGTGGGGAAGACTAAATATTAATTGTTCTATACAAAATAGGCTTCCAGTGGGGACAATGGCGGCTTAGTTGTCTCTTTGTGAGAGGGGAGACAGCACCGCAGCTGACTGGTGGCTGGCAGCAAGTGCTTGCCGCTTAACTTGTTCCAGATCAAGGAGGAAGCATGAAATCAACCCATCTGCCCTCTGGATGGCTGTTCCTTGAAAGCCAATCGCAGAGATAAAAGCCTCTGCAAATGACTTTTGGGTTGAGCAGTTGGGAGGTGGGCGATCCATCTTTGTTCGCAGCTGTGGTGCAGCTTTTTATGGACACTAGAGCCAACTGAACTTCATTTCTAAACACTGTGGATTATAATTATTTTTCAACTTAAGAGAGACCTTCCTTCGCAACAGATAAGGAATTCTCTTGGGGCTTATCCTTATTTTTGGGACTCTATTTTTCAAAGAAGTAATAGAGTTTTAATTTGAATCTGATTAATTCACAAAAAGCTGGATGAAGATTGGAATTTAAAAAAGACTTAAAGTTATTTACAGTGAAAAGGGAAGATTTATTTGTCAGAAGTTTATTTTTCTACGAAACTCCATTTGTAGTAACGAGGTTTGTTTTTTCCATGGGAAAGTTTTGTGTTATGCTAGCCTATGCCTGCTAACTGGCTGGGTTTTCAAAACAGAGGAAGACTGTAACTCAATCCCTGTGTGTTTTCTTTGATGTATACTTGCAATTCCAGCTGGAAAGACACCAAAGGGCATGAACTGTCAGTTTACTTTTCTCCTGTATTTAATTATATCCAGCTAGCCATTTTACTTGTGCAAAGGAAAAATAAAATAAAATGAAAAGATCATGGCTACTAGGAAAGCAGTGAAAGAAATGCAAAAAAGATGAGGCTCTGTAGAGCACCTGGTAGAGGAGAAAATGGTTGCTTTAAATTTACTTAAACCAATGTTTGATGACTTAGGAGCTAAATTTGCGACTTTGGAAAAAAATGGAAGAAAGAATAGATGAGATGGACAATTATGTGAAACAAATAGCTGGAGAGATGAAATAAATTTATGGAGAAGTGAAGCAAGTTACTGAAAGAATGGAACTGTTGGAGAATAAGGCATAAACTAGAAATGGCTTGATAATGTGTCTTTGTTGGTGTTAAGGGAGAATTTTGCCTGAGATTCAGAGCTATTCCAGAAATTTCAGGTGAAGATATTAGAAGAAAGGTAGTTCAAGGGTTGGCAGAATGTTTAAATTGGGAAGAAGAAAAAGCTGAAGATGAGATTGATAAGGTGTATTGGGTAAGTTTACGTTATGCAGCAATATGAACTTAGATATGTATTAGTACATTTTGCAAAGAAAAGGACCAAGGATCAAATTCTACAATGGCATTTTAATACCAGATTGAAGACTGACAATGTGGATATAATTAAAAGAGATTCCCATCAGAATTTTATGCAAGAGAAAGGACTTTTTTTTTTTTTTTTTTGGACAGAGGTATTGAAGCAAGAAAATTTTGTTTTGTTGGGATAAACTGGAGGGAGTGATTTTTACTTTCCAACAGAAAAGATTTCGACTGAATTCTGTTCATAAAGCTAAAGAATTTCTGGAAAAAATTAAAAGAGACCTGGAGGAGATGCAGGTGGAGGAGGATGAGCAGACAATCTCAAAAGCCAAGCAGGTCCAAGAGGAAGATGAAAAAGAAGACTCTGATTTGGGTGCCATAGGTATAGACTTTTCTAAATTACTGGCTTAATTATTACAAATGGCTAACGTGAAATATAAATGGAGCAAATGCTCCACAGAAGAGAAGAAAGGTGTTTCACTATTTAAAGACTTAGACAAGATGTAATTTGTTTACAAGAAACTCATTTTAGAAAAAAGGACATAAAATATTGATTTATAAGAATTTGGGATAAGAATTTATTTCAGCAGGTCCAAAAAAGTTAACAGAATCATAAATAGAGAGCAAACCCCATCCCATGTTAGCACTGAAGATGTTACCTAGCCAGATAATGAAACGTTTGCAAGAAAAGAACCAAGCTCAGAGAACCCCAAGGACTCGAGAGTCATGTTATATGTTAATCCACAATTAAAACCAAAATTAATAGTGGCTGATGAGTATGGTAGATTTGTTGTAGTAGAATCCGAAGTACAGAGAATTAAAACATTAATCTTGGGACTTTACACTTCAAATGTAAATAAAGGAATTTTTAAAAAATGTCTTATGGAAAAATTGACAAATTTTTCTTATGAAAATTGGTACCTGATGGGAGATTGGAATGGAATGGTATACCCACAACTGAACATCAGAAAGGGACATTAAAAAGAATCAGGGTAAACTACCTAAAACATTTTTTGATTTGATGGACAATTTATCTTTAGTGGATATATGGAGACAGAAAAATGGTACTTCTAATAAATATACTTATTTTTCAGAAAGACAGATCGTTCTCAAGGACAGACATGATTTGGATTTCAAAGGCTTTGGCTGTTAATACTTCTAAAATAGAGATTTTACCAGACTTTTTCTGATCATAACCCCATTGAGTTGGACTCTTAAAAGAAAGTCTATTTCATTCAGATGGAGACTAAATGAAATGTTGCTACAAAAGAAAGAGACAGTGAAAGATTGTAAAAAAAAGATTAATGGGACTTTTTGAGAACAATTTAAATAAAGGTACAGATCTGAGAATGGTTTGGGATGCAAGCAAAGCTTATATTAGAGGGTATTTCATTCAGCATAACATTAAGTTTGAAAAGAGGAGTCAAGAAAAAATGCAAGCTGTTTTGGATGAAATAAAGAAGAAACAGGATGAATTAAAGTTAACACCACAAAAGTTAAGTATTTCAAACGAAATTAAACTTTTACAGCAACAGCTATCTATGTTAACAGTGAGAGAATTGGAAAAAAGGATGAGCAAACAAAAAAAAAATGAATTTGCAAATAAGCCAGGGAGATGGTTGATGTATAAATTAAGACAGGAGAAAGAAAAGAAAATGATTACGAAATAAATAAATGGTTAACTTATGGTGATGGAATTTTCTCAAAGGATTTTAAATTAAAGACAAGAGAGGAATTGATATCAGAAGAATACGTGTGCCAATTGTTTTCTTATGTACAATTACAAGAAAGATTTAAAATAGATAAAAGGG